TCTTTCATCTTGAGAATACAAGAAAATTAGAATTGTACTACTGAGGACATGTGAGGAATTTAATCTTGAAAGAAGTTAACTACAATGATGCCTTATTTCAGTACTTTGATATAAAAATCAGAAAGATACTGAGCTTAAAAAAGCATTATATTGTTATCACTTAGAATTAAGTTTATTTGGGGGATTTAAAGTTTATAGTGGGGAGGAAAACACATTTTTTAATGACTCACCAATGCAAATGTAGTGAAGCCAGCAAACACCTCCAATGCGATTTGATGTGAGTTGTCAGTTACCTGTATGTGATAACCAATGCTCCAAGAAACCACGGTGAGAGCCAAGAAGTAGAACCATTTTGGTATATCCTACATTTATTTAATTAAGCAAACCAAATGTGTAGAGATAGGAAATTAATGTGTTATGCTTTACAAATACAGAAAGAAGACACAGCATGTTAAGACCCTGAAGAGAGTGCATCTGAGGATGCAGTTCTATCGTAGGAGACGACTTGCAGGAATCACATTAAAACCATGGCCAACGCGCCCGTTCTTGATTTGACATCATTCAAGTAGTTTCAATAGATAAAATCAGCGATTTGCTTTTAAACAAATATAAATACTAGTGATTATGGTAGCCTTGAAGGGTTTGTGAATGACTATGCTATACATACATGATACTAGGCTTAATGTGTTATTTCAGTGCTGTTGTACATTGTGCAGGGGGAAATAATGTCTCATTACACATTTACTGTGACATCCACTAAAATGTGAACTAGTTTGCATAGGTTAGTCCTTTGGGCAGCACGATGTTGCTCTAGTCCACCAAGGCTTAAAGATTCACAGTGTAGAGGAAAAAACATGAATTAAAGCATTTCTACTAAAATATATTTTAATAGCTGGTGTTAACAATTTGCATAACAAAAGCCAAATTATAGTCATCATGACATTGTATCCATTCTGTAACTCCTTCTTTTACAAAACATTAGATGTTCCCTCCAAAACTGTTAATGCATTCAACATTAGTACACAGTCTTGCAAATTAAATCATCAACTATAATTCTATATATTTTGAAGCAAATAGATGACAAACTGCACGATGGTTCAATTTTGCATTTTTATCACAGGTCAAAGATCAACAGTTCCATGTCGTGTCTGTCACATACTTGGTGTTGCTTCCTAAATGCTCAGTAATTCAATGTATGGACACTGAAGAATGGAACTGTGATGCTGTTTTCTCTCTTCCTTTAAAATAAATCATTCCTAACAGCAACTGGATTACAAAGAAGTATATACTATGCAAACTGGATACCATATATCAAACACAAAAAAGCATATAGAATTCCCATGAATATACTGAAGTAATATGGACAACTAGGGAGGAAATTGGCCTGGGTATTCTTCCAGGCTATGGATTTCAGTAGTTTAAGCATTATGGAAAGATGACCACAGAAGCATCATACAATGCCTTGACATTTGTAATCATCAACAGTTACAGACAGTTGCCTGGAAAAGGTCCATGGACTACTTCAGAAAGAGACTTTTATATTAGCATCCCTAAGTTAGTTTACACAGCTTCACGTTTAACTAAAAAGCTCTCTCACCTCCAAACAACCACAATCTAGCCACTTTTAGATTATCAGAAGCAAATAGCTAAGGTATAATTAACTTATGAAGTTCATCTTGTATAATGAATTCGGCCTCATAATATAATTATTCTATCTTACAATAGGTACTTTAAATCCCAAACCTAAAGTTAATGTTTATACATCTCAACTATACCTAAACCCACAAAGAACCTTTCAGAAATAGAGGGAAGAAGTCAGCATTTTCTAAAGTTCTAACCCTTTACAGGTAAACCACCATAAGCTATCACCTTTAATATCTGTCAGGAGCATCCCTACTTCTCACCATAAAAATATCAATCAGGTATAATAAAATATTACTATAGAACAGGCAGAAACTTGCTTTCTTGGTTTTCTTTCCAAGACCATAATGGACAAACAAGGGTAATCAAAAAAAAAAAAAAAAAAAACAAGGCACCTATTCTTTGTATATATCTGTATTATAATTTTGGTATAAACTTTATCTGCTTTATATAGGGATATATTATTAAAGATCACACTTGTGTTTTCTTTATCTTTTCATTAAAAATATTCCACTGGAGATGGGTGAACCAAAAATGAGGTGCACCTCTTGATTTCCACTATCTTTTTTAGAAAAGTGTGTTTTCCTAACTCCCAGAGTGTTGCAAAACTCAGCACAGAGAGGGTAAGGAGAGAAAGACTGCTAAATCTAGCAAAACCGTATCTTCTTCCTCTCCAAGCGATATATATACCTAGAGGCCAGAGAGGAGCTGGTCCAATCGCATTCATATTTATACAAGGTGTCTGTGGAAATTGTGCTTACAAATTCCCGTGCGGTCTATGGGGGTCGAGGAGGCCTGGGGAGACGTGGGGCCTCCAAGGAGACCTGACATCCAGGTAAATATTTCAAACGGGGCTACCCTGCAGGTGTGTAAACAATAAAGAGAAGACACGAAGAGTTCATTTTGCCATAGGATAGAAATAGAAAGCTTTCTAGAGAATAAGAATTATTAGTAAAAACATTACTACAAAAGCTTACATACAACCAAAGCAATACATTCTGTTGCTATGCTTTGCTCGAGAGGTGATCCACATATGGTTTTGTTTTCAGAACCTTTCAAAATTATACCAAACTGCTCCTTGTGCTTTTGTCAGGCTTGAGAATGCATCACATTTAGAAAAGCAGGTGCATGCTCTCTGTCCTTGGGCCTTTGCACAGTCATCTTTAACTTGATTTTTAAGACTTGCTTTTAAATTTCTCTTTAGCTGTCGGTGTTAGGTATGAGATACCTGTTGCCAAATTGAAGGTGGGGAGGAGGGATGTGGAAAGTGGAAAAGTTGTTCAAGAATGTAATTTTTTAAATGATGCTATAAAAATAGCACTTTGGTATTGTACATATATATTTCCAATATTTCTGCTGAGATGTTTACTATCCTGATAAGCTTTAATGATGACTGCCAACACTGTAAATTACAATCCCCAAGAGTATGCAACATCTTGTCTGCCTCAGTCTTCATTGTAAAATAACTGGTTTCTAGTTAAATTCTGATCCAATTGTAATTCCTAAAGGCTTGAAGTAGAAACACCTTGCTATGCAAACATCTTGCTATGCAAACATACGTGAAGCTTAAAATTTTAGGAGATTTATCCCCAAATATGTATTGACTCTTATATTCAATGAATATGACTTTGAAATCAGTGGATGAAAAAAACGAGAAACATCGAACTGCTACTTTATGGTCACTTTCCTGATTAAAAGCATTATTTGAAGCCAGTTTCCTCTGTACTTCCTATAAATGTGCTATTTATCAAAAAATTATACCAATCCTATATTTAGTGTGAAAATTTAATCAATAAACAACTCTTTTTTATAATCACAAAAAGTGTCCTGGTTGGGGAACATGTAAGTACATACTTAATACAATAAAATTGAGCAGGCCTACTGCCCTTGGTTTTAATACACAGATTTTTGCAAAAATATCGCAAGTAAAGTTTGTCTTTGTAGGTTTGTCTATAAGACAGCAAAACAGAGATGGGGTTTAATCAATTGAATTATGACTGGCCATTTCAATGGGAGAAAAATCAGTCAAGCTAGTTATCTGGTAATCTGTAAAACCCCCTCCAAAAAAATCTCAGGTTATTTGGCTGAATTTTTCTTTTTGAAATTTTATATCAGTGTCATATAGATGCAGCTTTAGTGTACTAAAGCTAATTTGCTCTTTTAGCCTAATAAAATAAAACCACAGATTTTCATTTGTATGTGCCAAATTTTCAAAGCTGTAAATGAGTCAGCTCTGGCCTTTGGACTAGCAAATATTTCAATAAAAGATGTTTTATAGGATATTTTGTTAATTACACTGAATATATCATCCAAGGTAGATATCTCCAAAAATCATACAATCTAGTACATTTTTGCAAACTTTACTTTTTCAGTTTCATCACAACTATAAAGTCAGACCCTACATGAATGCTACCCTGTTACAGGTCACGATAAAGGGCACAATCAGAAAAATATAAAATTGTCGCTGGGCATCAATGTCTCGGTAACCTTAACTGCAGCCTCCACGTGAGATTTTAAGACCTGCCAGCAAGGACTGCACTCATGGATGTGGCTTTAGCAAAAGCCTGCAAAGTCACTCATTTGAAAATCAAAACATCACAATTTCTTTCTTAGGGAACAGCCTATTGGTCCTGTACTGAAAATCTCCGATCAAATTCCTATCTCATCTCCTAAAGGCGATTTAGAAAATAAAAGCGAGAAAGTATAAGGGAAGTCTTTTGAGTAACTAGTTTCAGCAGCTAGATTTCCATTCCAGAATCTGAATGCCATTTCCCAAAATAAGACACCAGATCACTATGTAGAGTTTGTAGATTTTTGTTTGCTGTTTTTTCCCCCAGTACACACTATAATCCATTCTTTCACTGGCTTCTGTAAATTTTCTTTGTGTTTAAATCAATGGTGGCATTAAGTTAATGAAAGCTGTTCAATAAACATCTAAATCACTTATTTAGTAGAGTATACATGTATTTCCTAAGATGTGAATCCTTCAAAACTAGAGTGCAATGCAGCAGGAAAACCTCAAGCGGCTTTTCAAAATATGGTTTTGGATGAGCTGGCCACTAGAGGAAAGGGCTTTTAGGTACGTCACCCTTTTTGCTTTAATAACAGGAATGGGCAGTGCAGCTGCCTATGGTACAGAAGCTTGAACCTACATGACATGCAACAGGGTAAAGGCTACTAGGGAAATTATATAGATGACATTAACATTTGCCCTTTGCAGAGCAGCTCTGAAGTTGTTTGGTCCTGACGTTCTGCGGAACTGAGCGACTACTTGGGTCCATAGAATGTAGATGGGGAGTAGGAGATGTCTTGTTATCAATGAGAAATAAAGAGACCCCAGTCGGCCTAAGGAATAAGGAAATAAGGCCACCAGGCAATATAATTTTAACCAGACTGTCATTCTGCCACTGCTTACATGTATTATATTGGGCAATTTTCACTTGAATTGGAAATTGCCTAATGACTTGAAAGACTGAACAGGTTTGAAATTATTGGCTGCATTACTGAGTTAGGAGAATTGGCTTCTGGTGATTCCAAAGTGACAAACAGGAAGTTTCATATACTAGTTACATTTAAAGGACAATCAACATCTCTAGTAAAGTCTACAAAAATACATTTCCCAGAAGGGTTCAATCGCCAATCAAAGGAAACCACGAACACAATTAGCAGCACCAGGTCTCCAGACGGAATAATGATTTTTGTTTGGAGGAATTACTGAAAATGCTGCCATTTTCAGCCCAGAAGTCATTCCTTCGTCCTGGTACCTGTGTGTCTAATTGTCAAAGGAAGGATACATTATTGTAAAATAACTGCCAAGTTGTCTTAAAAGTATCTTCTATCTTTTAAAAAGGTCGGTTTAGAATACATTAGAATAAAGCTCAAAGGGCAAGGAGAAAGAATCAATTAACAAACTCAATGTAATTGGCTGGGAGCATCCCTGTTCTCCCAGTTCTCTGCACCGTGCCGTACATCCAGCCATCGTCGATGGGCTGCACGTTGACAATGTAGTCGCCGTCTCTGAAGGAGACCTCATCTTCGTCCTGGGCACTGTAATCGTACATGGCTCGGTAGGTCCTCTGAGAAGGGAAGAAGGGATTAGACAGATGAATACCAAAGCAGTCACAGCCACAAATTCCAGTCACAACTAAGCAACTCACACATAACTATTAGGAATGTTTTCAAGTACATCTATTCCTGAAAATCTGTCAACCAGAGCCTAGAATCTAACTGGGTTGATCTCAAGTTTACTTCTCTAGCAAAAAGCATAATACTGGGGGGCAAGAATGGGGATATGGAAAGCCACCAAGAGCAATAGCCAACCCATCAAAACAGTAGGTTTTGGAAGGGAAAAGCCAACTTCTCCCAGCTTCGGATAACCCAGAAAGCTTAGTTTACGTGGATCATCCCTGATTCTACATTTTTCAGAAAACAAAACCTGCCTTAGTGGTAGACAGGTCCAGGTCTCTCCTGGCAATGAACTTTTCTTAAATCAGTAAAAAGAATTTTTGTTTCCCGTTAAAAATATGTAAAACAAATAAAAAGAAAAAAGAGATTTTAATATGCTCACTTCATAGGTTTTTGTATTGCCAAAAGAGAAATTTAGCCTATAAATGTTCTGAATGTAGAGGTACATAGAAGGAAATCCCTACTATAATGAGGAAAAGTTAAACTAAGTTCAGGTTTTCTTATATTTGTTTTTGTTTCAGGCTAAGTGTTTCGCTAATGTTAACATCAGACAGTTTCAAAATCAAGTGCATTTTATAGACTGAGACATTGGCTGGGACCCAAAGAACTTTAGAATAGTTCAAGTTTCCTCATGGCTTAGAAGAGTTACCTGTTTCTGAGAGTTCAGGCTAAGGCTAAGGGATGGAGTCAGGGCTTAGAGAAACATTTTCAGCATGATATGCCAACCAACTGTAACCAGATAACTTCAAACACTGCTTCCAAATTTTACACTGAATAAATAAACCAGTACTTCAAGATTCCCAACAGGGGGATTTGAGGACATATTTGGCTTTTGTGGCCATGTTTATTAATATCAAGATTAACTTGTTCAAATGACCATCAAATATTTGTGCTTTTCAGGCTTGAATAAAGATCTTAATTGGCCAATACTAATCATGAAGTTACACTTGGATGTTGTGCTGATAGATTCTTTGTAGATTTTATTGTGTTACATAACACTTATGAATCCCTGCCTTTCTCAGCAGTTTACTTCTGTAAGTTGTTTGCTTCCTTCAAAAAAGCTGTATAAGTGGCAACATATCATCATTTATCTTTATATGAAAATTTCCAGTATTCAAGTCAACTGTATTCCACATGTATTGATATGTCTGGGAAGAAATCGGAAGACCAGAGAAGGAGGAACACTTCTATACTTACTAGATTTGGTGAATGCTGCATTGACCTCATGGAGGACACACTGGTCTGGTGCATGTACCCGTAGCCTTGGGAATGGCTTTGCTGATAGGCTCCAGGAAGCACTGGTGCTGTACATTAAACACACACATGCAAAGATTCCTTAACGTTAGTCTCAAAGTACCCTTCCCAAGACCCGAAAGTGACTTCATGCTCTGCTAAAAGCTTCTGAAACAAAATGCCATTCTAACAGTCACGTGAAATTTGGGTAGCAGTGTTACAAGCAACCTCTGGATAAGTATAAATCTCAGTAATTAAGAACATACACAGAAAATCAATTTAGCATGCAATTAAAATATATTTTAAAAATTAATAGTTGTATTACTACTGTATTGCAGATGCTATGTTAAAACAACAAATACAAAATAAAAATTTCTAATAATCCCTTAACAAAATTGTGTTTTTATTTGACCATGTAATCCTTGTAGATATTCTCCAAAATAAAAATCAGAATTTTTAAAAACTTTAATTGGATTACCAAACCAATGAGAGAGTATAAATGTTTTCACAGGGTTCTTCTCATATAATGGATACTCTCAATATTTCAAAACATACAGCTGAATGTTACCTTTACAAAGATGATAAATATAATGTATGTTTAGCAACATATATTTGTTCAGTAGTTAATAAGTCTATATTCTTTTTAAAAAACTTTTATTTAGAATATATGAATTTTTTATTTTATTTTGGCTACATGTCAAGACTAAATAAGTCAGCTAAGTATGTTACAAAAGCCTGAGAAACCAAACCACTTAAAGAATTTCATAAACATTATCCTTCTACATTAAAAAAATAGTATCAAAACAGTATTCACTCAGTTTGCACTGTCCTCATCACTGATTATGAAATTCAAAAGGCAAAGTTCTGATTTGGACATTGGTCTGAGCAAGGACTTCTTGAGAAATACCCCCAAAGCACAGGCAACCAAAGCAAAATTGGACAAATGGGAAAAGCTTCTGCACAGCAAAGGAAACATCAACAATGTGAAGAAACAACCCACAGAATGGGAAAAAAAATTGCAAACTACCCATCTGACAAAGAATTAATAACTGGAATATATAAGGAGCTCCAACAACTCAATAGGAAAAAAATCAAATAATCTGATTTTAAAATGGGCACAGAAATCTGAATAGACATTTCTCAAAAGAAGACATACAAATAACCAACAGACATATTTTTTTAAATGCTCAATATCATTAGTCTATGGAAAAATACAAATCAAAACTACAATGAGATATCACCTCACCCCAGTTAAAATGGCTTTTATTAAAAAGGCAATAACAAATGCTGGTGAGGATGTGGAGAAAGGGGAAGCTTTGTACACTGTTGATGGGAATGGAGATTAGTGCAACCACTATGGAGAACAGCACAGAGGTTCCTCAAAAAACAAAAATTAGAACTACCCTATGGTCCAGCAATCCCACTTCTGGGTATATATCCAAAAGAAGGGAATTCAGTATATTGAAAAGATATCTGCACTCCCATGTTTACTGCAGCACTATTCACAATAGCCAAGATTTGGAATCAACCTAAGTGTCCATCAATGGACGAATGGATAAAGAAATTGTGGTACATATACACAATGGAATATTACGTAGCCACAAATGGAATGAAATCCTGTCATTTGCAACAACATGAATGGAACTGGAGAACATTACGTCAAGTAAAATAAGCCAAGCACAGAAAGACAAATGTCCCATGTTCTCACTCATATATGGGAGCTAAATATTAAAAACAATTGATCTCATGGAGACAGAGAGTAGAATGACAACTTCTAGAGGCTGGGGAGGATAGCACCGAGGAGCGGGATAAAGTGGGGATGGTTAATGGGTGCAAAAATATAGTTAGATAGTTAGATAGAATGAACAATATTTGGTAGCACAACAAAGTGACTATAATCAACAATAAGCTAGGGTATACTTTAAAATAACTATGAGAGTTGGAAAGCTCCTAACACAAAGAAATGATAAATCCTGAGGTGATGGATAACCCAGTTACCCTGATTTGATTAATTCACATTATATGCCTGACCAAGACATCACATATACCCTATAAATATATATAACAATTATTTACAGATAATAATTAAAAATAAAAGATTAAAATGCATAGTTTCTGTTAAAGACCTCTGAGTTCTAGAGAAAGCAACAGAAAAACTAGATAAAAACCCCACAAAAATCAATAGACATATGATTGTATGTGTTTCTCCATATGTTTAAGTATATTTGTAACCAGAAGCTTGGGCTATAAATGAGAGTATTTTAGTAGCATGCCTTCTATTATGATTTTAATAATTATATGATACATTAGTCAAATTTGTATGTCATATGTGTTATAAAGTCCATAAGATTTTGCCATTTTTGTTTAATCAGGTTGAGTAGATAAACTAATTATAATGGGTTGATTTAGCCAGGACAGTTTTTTTTATAATAAAAGGAGTAAGAAAATGTAATTCTTGGGTGATGTGAATAATTAATATTTTATGAGTGACAAATTTACTCTAATGATATGTGAGATCATCAATACTTTAAAGAAATTTAATCATGAGAAAATTACAAATCACTTAATGTGTTCTCCAGATGATAATTATATTAGATTGAGTGGGGACTTTTTAAAATAGTGTTTGAATGAATTCATCTTACAATGTTGTTACAAAATGTCCAGATATGGCATCAAAGAGAAACTGCCAAGATCTTCTCTTGAATTATAGTATAATGGAAAGTTATTAAAACATCATTAAACATCAAATGCTTCAGAAAACAGCACTCTTTAACATAACCAACTCAATTTAAATATTTACTGTCGAGAGATGTCAAAGATATTGTCAGAATCTACTTGCAAAGAAAAAAATAATGAAATTCTCATAGATATCCAGGCCCACTTAATTAGCTGAGTAAAAGAGGCTTTTCTATGTATTGAAAGCTGGAAGCATTGGACATTTATTCACTCCCTCAACTCTCAGCAAATATTTATTAGTTAATGTGTGCACGAGGCTTACTGCATTTCCTGTCACATAGTAAGCCTCCATAAAGGTTAGTAATTATCACTGTCCACTGTATCCATGGCATGCCAGGGATAAGAGGAATGACAATTGCCTTCCTAAAGCAGTAATGGCCCTGGGCACCTGGCCCTTTACTCAGTTAAAAAAAATGGCTCTGGATACTTAGGGCATTTCCAACTAAATAAATAAGTCAATGACTCAGACTACATACCCCAGACTGGTAGTCTTGAACTGGTTTTTAACCATTTAAACAAGCCATTGCTTTGTTAATTATTCCGTGAATATACTTGTAAGTTTTAAAGATTAAACATCAACATTTCTGTAAATTTACTTAAAAAATTAAATTGAATCTATTGTTACAATATTTTCAACTAGGAACTTTAATTTTTCATGGATAGAGTTCAGTACAATCACCTTAGAATATTTTGGAAAAACTTCCAAGAAAGGAAAGTGAAAAAAACTGAAAAAAAATATGCCATCTCCTACTCTGTAATACATTTATGTTCACATAGTTCATACATCACAATTCCAGCTTAGAGCGCGCAAGTACTGGCAATTCAAGAATGCTGTTTAACAATGTTCTCTAACTTTGCTTTCAAAAAACAAGTATGTCCGTGCCTACTAAATTGCTCATATCTGAGTTTCAAACAGAATCTGTGCCACTGTCAAATGCAGCATGAAAAGAAAGTAATGCATTAGTCCTACATAAGTTGGGGAGAACAGGAAAGAAAGTTTAGAGTGAGAAACTTTGGAGTAAATACAATCCATCCTGCCCTTATGTTTTCTCTTCATGCTTTTATCAATTATCCTCATTTCCCTCTCTGGCTGAATTGCTTACTGAAAATTTCCTTTGAGATTATAAAACCTTGCTATCTATCTTAAACCAGGTGCAATAGAAGAGTTTTTAGGGAGCTTCTATTAGGGTTATGAAAAACATAACTGATAGCCTAGAGGAATCAACAGAGTAAAAGCAAACGCCAATTTACAAAGAGGCATGAACATTGCTTTTCTACTTTTAGGCAACATGAATGCTTTGTTGGAAACATAAGTAGAACAAGCAAAAGGAAGTTTAAAGCGATGGCTTTGGAAATTGGATTTATTGATAATTTGGTTGAGAAATAGGTATTCCATATATGATTTCTTCTGTGAAAATATGGAATTCAAAGAGTTTTGAAAAAGCAAGATGTTAGGCTAATTTTGCAACAAACAAGAACTTCTTATCACAGAGAAAAACACACAGTGCCCTCTTTATTAAACTAGTGGTCAGACACCGTTAGCACTGGTACAGATGGATCATGATAAAGGTACAATGGTTTTTCAACCAAAGAGTCCTGAGGTTGAGGGTTTTTTATTTCAATAACATTAAAGCCACAAACAATAGCTTTAATTATCTAAGGTGACAAAAATACACGGAAGTATGACTCAACTTTTTCACACTGGTAAGATTTATTAACCAAAGATCTGGAAGCTGACTAAAGCTCTGAGTGTCTCAGCCTCTATTTGGAATATCCTACAATATTACAAAACCAACATGTCTCTTCAACTACGCAATAAAGTTCTTCCACCGACAGTCCATACTAATATCTTCTATTTAATGTTTACTCTTAAAATAGAAGGAGATAAAACCAAGATAAGGAAGTGGGTAGATACACAGATCATAAACCAGAAGATGAAAAGAGAAGAGAACGTTTTTAAGAGATTTAACAAATCTGAAACTGGACAAAGGAGAAGATGTACGTAAACATAAAGATTGGAGTAAATGAATGGAAGAAATATATGCACAATAAAAAGAGAAATATATGCACAAAAAGAAGTCTATCTTGGGGGCTGTAGCACAGAGCAAGTGAAAGAAGAGAATATTATTTAAATGTCCTTGGTGTGCATGGTGCTTTGTATGTTGTCATTTAATCACCACAACTATCTAAAATAGGTATCATTCCCACTTTATGGAATAAAATAAAAAAGGCTGAGAGATTAAGCAGAAAGACAGCAGAATAATTACCTTCATGTAGTAAAGCCACAGCAACAGTCTCAAGATGTTATAGACAAAGCGGAGGTTTTGAAAGCCCC